TGGTGTCCGGCGGGGGATAGTTTTCCACCAAAGTTTTAACTGTTGTTTATTTTGTTGTAGTGTGATGGTTACTTTTGTTGTTGTTATTGTAATATGTGTTTGCAGGACCATACGGTATTGTAAAACAGCGGTAAGATCTCGCCTGTATATGTTATCCTGCCTAAAGATGTTTTAAATAAATAAATAAATAAAATATATAGGGCCTAATTATAAACTTTTGCTATAAAGGAATAAGACAACTTATCTGGTCATTTCAGAAAGCGCCCCCACTTCTGACCTTCTCAAAGGTTTCTTAACTAAAATTAGAAGTGTTTCAAAACAAGTCCATAATCTGGTCAAATTTATACATTAAAATGTATATTTGACCTACATATATACGGTTTTTTCAATTTTGGCGGCCATTTTGAAAAGCGCACTCATGTGTTACCCCCTTTTATATGCTCGTTGAGAACTTTAGCTAGTCATAATTTACTCTCATCATTACATATACAAAATGTGCTCAATCATACCCCTTAAAAGCTTATTTTACTCATGTATAGGCCTATGTATTATATTGGGTTTTGGCAGACATTTTGAAAAAAGCTCTTTCACGCAAAAGTTTTCGGGTATACAGGCCTTTTACCTCACATATTCTGATTCCCCATAAAAAAAACTGGTCTAGAAAAACCATATGAGAATTTCTACCTCTCCAAGTGACACCAATCTCAATTATAGCCCTGTCAAAGAGCAGTTAATGAAGGACATTAAGGGTATGTTCACACATACGGCGTAAGACTGGCGTAGCTTACTCCGGCGTAAGCTAATCCACGGATTGAAATTCCAAAGTGTTCACACAAACGGCGTTCGCTATATTAATGCTGGCGTTAAACTAGTAGTAGTATAGGCCTATGGGGGAATAATTTTTAGTTTTAAATAATGTACGGGTTCTTAACCGTAGTAAAATTAACAGTGCATCATTAAAACTTTTAAATCCGTGAATTGTTCGAAGTGAATTTATATGATTATTGTATTTTAAATGAACAATTTTACTTCTGATTGCAGGTGTTGCAGGTTTTAATAGACAGTCTAAATAGGTTAAAATATCTTACACAACACAATCAGCAAATTAATATACATTATAACTAAGTAAAATGCAATAGAAAAAGAACCCCTTTACCATTTCATTTATAGAGAGCACAGGAAAGAGATCAAAGTAACTAATCTATTGCAATCGTGATTGGTCAATCTCTTGACATGAGGTCAAATCATTCAAGCATCACTGGCGTTAGCTCAGTGGCGTTAGCTAATCTGGGGTCTGCAGGTAGCGTTAATAAACGCCACGGAGGTGGCGCTGTGAGTGGCGCAAGTAAAGCCACTACCTAGTTCACACGCAAGGGCGTCACTACGCCAGCCTTACGCCGTGTGTGTTTGTGGGTGTGTGTGTGTGTGTGAACATAGCCTAAGACGAGATATTTATTTGAGAAGTAGTGCGAATCAAAAGGCATTAACGTTGCCGTCGAGCCCTGTGTGCCTTCGAACAATTTAAAACATTTATTGTTCCATTGGCCACTACTTTAAACTTGAAACACGCAAACATACAAGACTCATTTTTAATTTGGTTTTGGGTAATGCCCTCACATTGCTTTTAGATGAACATACCTTCAAACATTGAGTACTCGCAAATAGCAGGTAGCAAACTGTCACAGTTTACAATGTCCCAATCACCGAGTTCCGTACCAGTATCTCTTGTGTCGTAAACCTCCACAAAGGCCATTGCGGCACAGTTCTCGGTCGAGCTAGTTCCTGGTCTGCTTGGGAGCCACTTTTCATAAGTAGGTGCCGAGCCATCCGTCGTCCAAGTGAACGCGTTTGTATTCTGAATATTTACGTAAACAATATATGTATATGTATATGTATATATATATATATATATATGTATATGTATATATATATATATATATATATATATATATATATATGCCCTATACTGTATCCATTCTTTCATTTCACTGCTTCAAAATAAAAAGATTTATTTTTATATAATTACTTTTATTGTATGTGCAATTTTGATATTTATCACTTAATATTATCCAGATGATGTATTTTCATTTGTAATAAAATTGAATTAAATTGAATCGAATAGAGAAAATTAAACCAGTTAATGGTAAGGAATGTTTTTAAATATTTTTTTAATTGTTATATATAATTAAAGGTTTTGAGTGATGATTAAAGTATGTGTTCACAAACCCCGGCCAAACTAAACTCTCACTAGGCTTGTTCTGCTTTAGCTTTGTTTAATTTGGTAAAACATTCCAAATGTTGTCCAACCGACACAAAATTAAAATTATTATTAATTATAATTTTCCGCCACGCTAGAGCCCGAAACTGTTCCCCGACTTGACGGATGTTTGAAAGGCTACTTTTGAAATACCATTTTACAATTCAAGAGGGGAGTGATAGTTGGCGATAAAACCTAGAACTAGGCATGCCTCAAGTTAGATATATGTTTTTTTATTGTAAGACCCTGATTTCCAAATTTAACTATGCATCACGTCAATTCTTTGGGCCAATTGTGAGTTTGGCTAAGTACCGGTATGTGTTTTGAACAAAGACTGTGTTGATAATGAATATGGAAAACCACTGTTTTTTTTAACATTATAAAGGCGTTTCATTATTTACTTATTTGTTTGATGACAAAAAGTATTCTTGATTCTTGATTTTATAAATATATCTGTTCATTGTAGGCCAAACATACATTGAACATAATAAAACAACCAGTAACCACTGAAAACAATATTTCCCAGCCTATCAATAAGAACTTGTAGAAAATAAGAGCTTTAAATATTAAATAATATAACAAGATATAACAATATTAAATAGTAACAAATAGAGATCACTAAAAACAGGGGGAAGCAATTTACCTAAAACAGTAGGTCTAGCTGGAGTAATGGTTATTCCAACTTAGTTCGGAATGTCTAAAAGTTTTCAAAATGACAATAAATACACTACAATTCACGTATTAGGATTATGTGTTAATATGCGCCAAGAGAGAAAAGAGATTTTTTACGGCTAGGAGGCATAGGCCTACTACCTATCGACAGTAGTTTGAATTATTATCAGTACAAAACCCACCCCTACATCCTTCAGACCGATCCAGTATTTATATGGCGACATCACTCGAATGAAACTACGTAGAAACTGTTGTTCAAACTCGTTGTTCACCATCACCAATTCAGAGTCGTCATCCTCGCACAGTGATTTCGCGCCATCCCAGTCTTTCTCCGTAACGTTCATTTTGTAGCAGCTTTCCATGTAGGGTGTGTAGCCATCTCGACATAGATCTAAATATTTTAGACAAATATATGTAAGCATTAGACCTACATTTAATTTAGGCATGGAACATTGGTGGGACAATACAAAATGATCAATGGAAGTGCTATCGTAATAATACTCTATTTTAGTTTTATACAGATGGTAAAAATGATACAGATTGTATTTGTTTATATATTCAAAAAAACATCTTTATACAGGATAACATATTCGGTGGTTTACTGTTTTACAATGGTCCTGTTTTATAGATTAAAATCATAATAATTTTGTGTTCAACATACCTGTAGCTAGCTGGAAATGCTTTTGAAAACGCAAGCCAATTGCGTTAACAAAAAAGTTTAATTACCACCTCTATATTCAATTGAATCATGTACTGTTAAACGGGCTCACAAGTGTCAAAAGAGTTTCACCAGACAGAACAAGCATTCAAAGCATGGTTTTTGTTTTAAATAGTAACTCGAGTCGTTTTCTATTTAAGGTATTTCCAGGCAACCATTTATTTATATTGTACATATTTTATGTACGGGCTTCATAAAGGCCTAGATTCTCCTGTTACGTAAATAATAGCATCATTGGCAAATGTGCTACACGTTTCAGTAGTCCAAGACTGTGTTACATCATTATGTGAAGTAAAAAGTGAATACACATAGGGCCATGAAACACGGATATTTATATCACTTGATTAATTTTTTAATCCAGATTAACTCATTACATTAAATGCGATGCAAAATGCTATATGAGACTTGATTGTTTAAGAGATATGTAGGGTGTAACTTTATATATTTTCTAACCGGCTAGTCTTACCGCCAGAAACATCGGGTCTGTCTGAGTACTGAAACTGGAAAATATCCGTAAAACTTAGTAGGTTCGAATTGTCAACGGCTGAATACCATACTAGATCAGCGACACCTACGAAACGATGCACACCAGCGGTGCTCGCAGAATTCGGATCGATTGCAAGCCGCAGGCGAAACGTTGGCGTTGCAGCGATTTGAATGGTTCCAAGCTGTTTGATAAAGGAAACTATTGTATCACCAATAAAGCTATATAATGCAAATTACGTTTTCGATAGTTTAAGATTATAAAACATCTAAAATTTTGTGTAGTAAAGACTTATCGGAACATTATAAGAATAGTATTTCAAGAGGGTTATCAAAGGTTTTATAATTGCTGATCAGTATATAATTTAATAATGGAATTAATAGAGTGGATGTTCGTAATGATGCTTTTATAAATAATATAAAAAACATCGTTTTCACTAAATGATCAAGTCGATTCAATTGACATAATAGGAACAAGAAGTTCAGATGTTAAATCCTGGTCAGCAATAAATAACTTAAAAATCAAGTACTCCAAATCGGCCTCTACCTGATGAATGTATACCTGCTGGAGCTTGAAATATTTAAAATTTTATAGTCGCCTTCCCATACGGTATACACTACGAGAGTTTTTTTTTCTTGTCTATATCCCCACCCTCAGTTATGTCATTTACGTTACTATACTCAAATAACCGTCTACAAGCACCTATTTCGATAAGCGTCACTCAAAAAATAATCACAATTCCAAACGTAATTTGTGTTTGCTAAAAGTAACGGTCTCGAATAATCGAGAGTATGTGCCTTATGTGTCGTATCATCATCGGGGCTACTTTATTAGAAAATTAGTTGGTGCAGTACCGGTCTTACGCCAATTATTAGAAATTAAACAGGATTCGCTCTAATTACAGACTTTTCTGTGGTCCTAAATTAAAAAATGTATATTATCTTTATTATTATAATTAGAGACCAAAACAGCAAAAGACAAGGAAACCCCGGTCCCAAAAGTGGTCTTTAATTGGAGGTAGACCTGTAATACCTTTGAGTAAACATTAACTATCTCAGTCGGGCATTGTTAATGTTGGCATGGTGGGCCTTTTTTGGCCGTTACTCTCTAGGTATACACATAATAGACCTACTCTGCATATTTAATCAATTAATCAATCAATTTAATATTGTTATTATTATTTTGTGCAAGAGACGCAAAAATAATATTCACGTAATTTGTTATCATACCTCGATTCGTACGTTGGTGGGGCCGTTTATAACACTGTCTATTTCTGGTGCTTGAAGCAGCTCAGTGTACTCCGATTCCAATTGGACAAACGGGATGTTTGCTGACGTAAGGAGCGTGAACTTGACGCCTGTTGCCTTGCCTGTCGAATCGTCATCATGCCAGATCGAGATCAATAGTACTATTTCATCCCTACAGAATACGACGACCATACAAAACCTATGCTTTATTTTATATTTTTTTATACTATCTGAGTATTTATTCGTTCTTTATGCCAACTGCAGGCATGTTCAGTACTTGTGTGTGTCGAGCTTTAAACAGTGGCGTGACGCTCTTGAGCACTCGAGGGCGCAGCTCCGACCCCACTCAAAAGGGGCCACAAAAGGGCCTGGGGCCCTCCTACTACTACCAAAACATTACTATCGAGCCTTACCAGTGGCATAACACCAGTGTGTTTTCTGGGGCAAAGGCCCAGTTCCCAGTCCAAATGGCCCCGGAGAGGCCATGTGGCCCCTTTTTATTACTACCCAGCACTCTGCTACATCGCATACAAATTTTATCTATAATTTCTAAAAGGTTGAGGGGCCCGGGGCCCATTCTACTACTTTACCCAGCATTTTACTATGGGGCTTGGCTCAATGTGACGCATGTGTGGGCCCCAGATATTTTTTAATTAAAAACAATGCTTTTTTGGCCCCGGCCGGCTGCATCCCCGTCCACCTAATCCATTTCCGCCGCCATAAAAAAAAATCAATATACCACAGGTTACTCATCATTGTAGGCATAAATACATTTACAAGCATATATAGAATATTAAAATAGATTAATTAAAGTATACATAGGCCTACCATAAATTCGAAAAGAAAAAAAACTGACGCGTACGCTCTAAGAAGTCAAATGAACACTTTCGAATTTATACTGATAATTGTGATATGGAAAATGATATTAACTGCTACCAACAAAGCATCAACACAACTACAAACGGTTAAACCTGACTTGAGCGTTTCTGTGCGACGGTTGTCAATATCTCATTCTTACAACATTTGCGAGAGTCATGGAATGATGTGCTGATCACAGCTAAAACTTTTGCTAAGATTTAGAGTGTGCCTACAAGTTACAAAGAAGGCAAAGAGCAGATATCACACAGATATCTGAGTGTTTAAAATACAGAAACCTTTGGCTGACATTTTCGGACTTTATAACACCAATGAACGTTATAACGCTTTCGGGCGAACACCTCGATGCTCTCGAGGTAATAGGGATAGAGAACGAAGAGGCAAGATCCTTGGATATTGAAAAAAAATTATTAGATATTTTTTACCAAAAAAAAGCACGTTTATTGATTGAGGGTGAATCCCAACAAAAAAAAGTCAGGAGTCTTAAGCCGGGCACTCACTGCGTCGTATTACCGTCGCACGATGAACCCAACTCGACGCGACTCCGTCTGCTGATTGCAGGTGGCAGTCTGAACGAATCGTTATTAAACACGATCCGTCGCGCGTGCATCGTCGCGTTACGTTCTTCGTAATAGCGTCGGGCGTAATGAGTGCATGGCTTTACAGAACAAAAACTAAGACAATATACTGTAGGTAAAATCAATATTTTTCTGTCTGTAACACCATAACTGTCTATTGGCTGGGGGTTTTTTTACGTACAGTATGTCTTTGAAATGTGTACAATTAAAAACATAAATGAATGTAAAGATGCATGTTAATGACGATATAAATTAGCAAATTACTGTTGTGATGATGTAAAAAAACATGAAGAGTGCATTTACAGTAGGGCCTATGATAAAATCCCGTATTATTTTTGTATATTTCCGTACGACCGTAATTAGGCAAATCTAGTAAATAGGAACGTCTACCACTCACGATGGTTAGGCATGAAACATGCAACGACGCTGCCTAAATAAAACAACTAGAAAAATATTATCCAACTATCCAAATGGTATCCAACTGTGGACATACGTTCTGTATGACCTAACTCAGCCCCGCGATGCATACCGCAAAACACAGCTTGTAGACTGAGAGCATTTAAAGTAACAACTGCTCAA